TGTGACTCTCCTTAGGCCCACTCTACATCATCGATCACTTTCCTCTTTGGCCCCATAATCTTCTTGATCAGAAAATTTGGGACACTACCGAGGTACTCTTAGCTTCAGTTTGACAAGAAGAAAATAGATTCATCAAAACTCAAGGACTCTTAAGTACCAACTAACAAAATTTTATCAGAAAGTCTGAACCAAAATATGTATTGAAAAGACAATTAATACTCTTATAAAAGATGCTGATTCTGCTTTTGGCTTCTGAATAGCTCCATGTAATTATTTGGTTTGAGCTAGGTGGGTGGGTGTGTGCATGTGCCCGCATGCACATTTGAATGTGCATTAAATTCAACTTTATTTGGTATTTAACACAGCAGAAACTAAAACAATGAAATCAGGGTTACCTAAAAGGTCTAGGCTATAAAACTGAAAGGAAAAATTATCACTTGAACACAAACTTTAGTTTCAGCATGTCTTTTTCTTAATAAGATACTTTTAATCTTATAGATGACTTCCTGGTGCTGCATCTTGCTGACTTAATTCGAATGGCTTTTATGGCTGCCACAGATCACAGTGACCAGCTCCGTCTTTCTGGCCTTGAAACACTATTAGTTATTATTCGGCGATTTGCAGCTATTCCAGAACCAGAGTTTCCAGGTCATGTGATTCTGGAACAGTATCAAGCCAATGTAAGTAGGCATTTTATATAAGAAAATTGTGTCATCATTGGTCATTGTGCTGTATGCCTGTAATTGCATCACTCGAGATGCTGACACAAGATTGCTGCAAGTTTGAGGCCATCTTATACTACATGGTTAGGCCCGAGAGAGAGAGAGAGAGAGAGAGAGAGAGAGAGAGAGAGAGAGAGAGAGAGAGAGAGAGAGAATTTTGTTATCAGATAACACCAACAAAAAAATTAAAAGTCTAGGGCTGGGGAGTGGCTCAGTGGAATAAGTGCTTCCCTGGCAAGTGCAAGGGCCTGAGTTCAATCCCCAGTTCAAAAAAAAAAAAAAATTAAAAGTCTGGTTATTTGGCACATCATCTCTTGATTCATAATCTTTTTTTTTATTTTGTTTTTCTTCCTCAATGCATTTATTTTGAAAAATAAAGACCTACTGTTTTACAGAATATCTCAAAATCTTGATTTGCTATAGTGTTTCTTCATGATTAAACTCAGACTGAACATTTTTGTCAGGAACTATAAGACATACCCATCCAGCAGCAGGTATCAAATTCATCTGATATTACTAATGACACTAAATTGGATCACCAGGTTAGTATAGCCACCACTAGGTATTTCCACCATAAAGATATCTTTTCCCTTCTGTAAGTAATAAATAACCTATAAGGAAAACTTTTGAGATTTATCTTTCAACCAATAATTTCAATATTCATAGATGGCTGCTGCCTGAATCAGTAATTACAATGGTTGTTCTAAAGCTTTGATTTTCTAGTTGAGTTTGGTACATTTATCAGGTGGTATCCT